CAATGGCCACCCCTTAGATCCGCGCATGCAATATTACTATCTACTGTTGCCAACTTATATTACTATCTACTGTTGCCAAAGCAGGTTTTACTGAAATGCGTAACAGAAGAGGAAACATAGTTATGAAACCAAATGTTGTTGCCCTTTACAATAAAACCATGTGGGTGTAGATTTGGGTGATGCACAGCTGTGATTATGACAATGCTAGCTGAAAAACCATTATGATCAATATGATAATTTAGATGTTGAACATGATATGAAGCAGATGTAAATCCTTTTTTCACAATAAATAATGATACTGACCTCTAAATACTGACCAAAAACTTCATCATTAACTACAGCAGTCAATTTCTATATTATAAACAAATTTAATGTCAATAAGTTTGCTAACACCATAACACTAAATTTTAAATATTTTTAGCATTAAGGTTAGTGCAAATATTTATAGATAATACAATTAAATGTTTAATAAATAATGATCATATTTTGTAATGTGAAAACACAAAAGTAATCATTTCTATAACTTTAACTCGAATGTTTGTTCTTTTGTCATTCTTTAGATAGTTATCCAACACTCTTCTAAATAGTTCTAACCAATAATCTCTGTTCTAACCAATAATCTCTGTCTCAAAGATTTTTTTTGGTAGAAATCTGCTTTAATATTACTTGATAAGTATTACACCTGACATAGTCTCATAATACATGATTAAACATTTTAATACAAGATGACTAATACACACAGTAATCTTTAAATAAATTATCTTATTATAAAATAGTTATACAAAATCATAATTTTTTTTTTTTTTTTAATTTTATTGTTTTCATTTTTTTATTAAATATGAATGAAAATGAGAGCAGTATGAGAATGCAAAACAACAATGTTTGCTTTAAATATTTTAGTTTTCAAAAATAATAAAAAGTAACTAAAATAAATTGATTAATATTTTTATGTTTCTATTAGAATTTTAATTTATTTTGTTTTCATGTTTTCTTTTGGTGGTACGGTAAGTGTTTTATTTAGTTATTTTTATTTTTGTTTGTTCAGTAAATCTATACTTTTTATATCATATCATCAAAAAAAATATTGGTGCTTTACAAATTTGGGGTTGGTTGGGTTTTGGCTATTTGTAGTGAGTCCTTTTTTACTGCAGTATGGAATAGGCGTAAGTCGCGGGGTAAAGCATAAGTGGCGATGACGTTTGTCTGACGGGATAAACTAGTTATAAATGCTGATCCTCATCGAAACGCCAGTAATAATAGACGCGACTCTGAGGAGATGTTTATTACTTAATCACTACACTAATTATGTTTACACATTAGCATTAATGTTTTTTTTTCCATTATTAGTCCTTTCATTGTTGTTAGCATATTTTTAATTTGTTGAATAGTTTTTTGTTTTACAAATTTTTGACTGGTTATGTATTTCTTGTATATTTTAGTTCATATTGGTATTTATAAAACATTTTTTTATTTTTTTATTTATATATATATATATATATATATATATATATATATATATATATATATATATATATATATATATATATACATATATATATATATATTTTATTATTATTTATTTTTAAATTTTTTTTAATTTTTTTTATTGTTATTATTGTTGAGTACTGTTTTAATTGTATAGCCTGTCTTATTTATTTTTAAATATTCCTCTATTAATCTTTATTTTTGTCTTGACAACTGTCAAAATATGCTTTGTCTAAAAAATAATACTCCTTTATTCTAATGTACTTCATTTCTTCCCTCGGGCGTTCACTGCTCGTGTGTGACCATTCGGCGAATTTTATATGCCAAAGTTTTTAAATAATATTGGGCCTAGCCCGTAAGGGTTAGTGTTACGGTCATCGAGCACGACTATTTTCCTAATCGCAATTACTGTCACCGCGAAAGAGGATTTTTGTCTGTGGAAGATGCCTGGGCTAGCTTTTTAGTCATAAGTCAGTTATAAATCCATGCATAGGTGTTTAATCCATCATGGTTTTCTGGAGTATGGCTGGGCTGGCTTGGTTTAGTTCAGAGACAAATCTTTTACGCTGGTTACTAACAATATAAGACTCTACTGAACGACATAAACAGCACAGGCTTACATATTACACCTATACACCCTTATGCACATACAGCCTGTTTACATCTTTTGCATGGTTTTTGTTCTTTCATAGATAAACTATCTTTGTTTGAACTCATCCTTATTTAGATAATATTTTCTTTTAATAGATATGTTGTTGAAATGTAGATACAGATTTGTATGTTATCTATATGTGTTTATCATGTGTGATTGAATTTTTCATTAAAGGATTCATCTGAATTTACATATAAGTATAAGAGCGATTTTTATAAACTAGCGGCTTTCGACTTGTTTTTATGAAGTATGTTTTTCCTTGTTATTTTGTTATGGTCTCAAAGTTACTTTTAATTCGGACCGTAGAGAAAACTTCACTTTTTAACAATTTTTTTTCCCGCTTTCTACATCGTTTTTATATCACGATTTATATCATTGTTATAATACCCACAACTAATTTTTTAACTACTCATTTGGCTTAAAATTATCTGGTTTTATTACAGTATTTATTTAGTCTTATTGCTATATTTATTAATGTTTTACTTATCTCCTGATTTTCATATTATTACTGTTTACAGAAACTTTCATGTTATATTATCTTGCATTCATTACTCAGCTTTGTTTTAATTTTCACATGCACAATTTTTATCTTTATTATTATTCAGAGAATATTTTTATATCCTTCATTTAATGTTTACATATATGTCGCTTACATTTTTAAGGTTTTTGTGCAACGTTCTTTTTTCGCTATCATATATTATTCGATTATTGTTATGATTTTGGGTTTCGCGGGTTACTCATTTTCCTACACTTTTGATTGGTTATCATATTTTGAATGAGGTATCTATGACAGCGTTAGAGTTTATTTAAGGGTATTGTTTTGTTTATTAAAAAAATTTTTTAATGAGGTATACTGCTTTCTGATTATCTTGGGCTTGTTTATTGTTTATTTGGTTTTATTTCTTAAAATAAATTGATTAATATTTTTATGTTTCTATTAGAATTTTAATTTATTTTGTTTTCATGTTTTCTTTTGGTGGTACGGTAAGTGTTTTATTTAGTTATTTTTATTTTTGTTCGTTCAGTAAATCTATACTTTTTATATCATATCATCAAAAAAAATATTGGTGTTTTACAAATGTTTTCTTTTGGTGGTACGGTATAAATATTGTTTTCATGTTTTCTTTTGGTGGTACGGTAAGTGTTTTATTTAGTTATTTTTATTTTTGTTCGTTCAGTAAATCTATACTTTTTATATCATATCATCAAAAAAAATATTGGTGTTTTACAAATTTGGGGTTGGTTGGGTTTTGGCTATTTGTAGTGAGTCCTTTTTTACTGCAGTATGGAATAGGCGTAAGTCGCGGGGTAAAGCATAAGTGGCAATGACGTTTGTCTGACGGGATAAACTAGTTATAAATGCTGATCCTCATCGAAACGCCAGTAATAATAGACGCGACTCTGAGGAGATGTTTATTACTTAATCACTACACTAATTATGTTTACACATTAGCATTAATGTTTTTTTTTCCATTATTAGCCCTTTCATTGTTGTTAGCATATTTTTAATTTGTTGAATGGTTTTTTGTTTTACAAATTTTTGACTGGTTATGTATTTCTTGTATATTTTAGTTCATATTGGTATTTATAAAACATTTTTTTATTTTTTTATTTATATATATATATATATATATATATATATATATATATATATATATATATTTTATTATTATTTATTTTTAAATTTTTTTAATTTTTTTTTATTGTTATTATTGTTGAGTACTGTTTTAATTGTATAGCCTGTCTTATTTATTTTTAAATATTCCTCTATTAATCTTTATTTTTGTCTTGACAACTGTCAAAATATGCTTTGTCTAATAATTCTCCTTTATTCTAATGTACTTCATTTTTTCCCTCGGGCGTTCACTTCTCGTGTGTGACCATTCGGCGAATTTTATATGCCAAAGTTTTTAAATAAATATTTTTACAAAATTGTTAGAAAAATAATAAAAAGTAATTATATAAATATATCAAAAAAATTAAAAGTTCATTTTTCGCATATAAAAAAAAGTTTAAACATAAAACAACTGCTAAATAAACAAACATAAATTAACTATAGAACAAATGTTAAAGATAAATTATAAAAAACTTTATTTTTTTAAATTTATAAAGCATAATTATATGTATAGCTCCTCGCTTCCCAACTTCTTGTTTTTGGGATTTATTACTCTATAGAATTATAAATGAAAAAAAAAGTAAAGATATCTTATAACTAAATTTTCATATACTGCAATAATTGAAAAAATATAAACATTACTTAACTATAAAAGAACTGTTGAATAAACAAACATAAATTAACTATAAAATAAATAATAAAGATAAGTTTACTATAAAAACTTTATTTTTAAATATTTTTTTGCATAAAAGTATCAGCAATATTTTATAATTTTGTAATAATATTAAAAGCAAACCCTGTCATTTTAAATTCTCATACATAATAAAATTAAAAATTCCAAACTTCTACTATATGAAATACTTTATAAAAATAAGAGTATATTAAAAAATAAATTTATCAAAATAACTAATTTTTTGTTTCCTGCAATTGGAAGAAAAAAATTTATATTGTTTATAAAGATGTTATTCAAAAAGCAACATTATATTTATAAGGATGTATCCAAAAAACAAAATAATAAAAAGTAATTATATAAATTTGAAAAATAATAAAAAGTAATTATAGCTTCCCAACATCTTGTTTTTGTGATTTATTACTCTATAGAATTATTATATATAAATAATAGAACTGTTGATTTATTACTCTATAGAATTATTATATATAACTAATAGAACTGTTGAATAAACAAACATAAATTAAGTATAAAATAAATAATAGGAAGAAAAAAATCTATATTGTTTATAAAGATGGTATTCAAAAAGCAACATTATATTTATAATGATTTATCCAAAAAACAAAATAAGTTTTTGATAAATTTTTTTTTTTAGCAACAAAAAAATTAGCAATATAAAAAGCATACCTCATAATAAAGTAACAATATTCAAATCAGACCTCATCGTTTTTAATTCTCATACTGCTCATATGTATTTGTATTCATTCAAAAAATTAAGTACATTCATGACTTATCTTAAATAGTTTATAATAAAAAAAAGGATTCCAAATAGTTATATGAATAGCCCTCTCGTTTCTCTACATCTTGTTTTTGGGAGCAAATACCCTATAAAATAAAAAAAAAGTATATATATCCATAAAATCAAAAAATTCTTTTCTGCAAAAAAAAAATAATTATATAAACATAACTTGAATCAAAATAAATTAATATATATCGTAACTTATGAAATTGATATATAGCATAAATCAAAAAACTGTTAAATATACAAACATACTACAACTATAAAATAAATGCTAAAGATAAATATATATATATAAATTATAATAATAAAATTAACTAAAAAAGGTTTTTTTTTTTTTTTTTTTTTTTTTTTGCAACAAAAAGAAATGCAATATAAAACCACACCTCAAAATATGGTAACAATATTTTAAATAGACCTCATCTATTTGAATATTGTTACTTCAAGTAACAATATTCAAATCAGACCTTAAAAGATTTGATATATTATATAAATATTGATTTTATATAAAATATTTCATAACTGTAAAAGGTTATCTTATATAATTTTATCATAAATATTATTATTATTATTGTTATAGTTATTGTTATAGATATTACTATTATTATAGATATTTTATAATAGAAATTATTATTAATATAGATATTTACCTTTAGTTTTGCAAGGACTTTAAAGTTTACAAAAATGTTTTTTTTTCTTTTTTTTGTGACTACTGACATTTTTCTCCTAAATCAGTTAATTCTTTCAATTAGTTCAAATCAGTTAACTCTTTCAGTTAATTCTATTAATTCTTTCCCAACTCCTTGCTTTTGGAATTAGATACTCTAAAAAAAATAAATAATAAAGTACATATATCTCATTTCTAAGTTTTCATTTTCTAAATTAACTAAATTTTCATTTTCTGCAAATAAGTAAAAAATTATAAACATAGCATAACTATAAAATAACTGTTAAATAAAGAAACTTAAATTAACTATAAAATAAATAGTAAAGATAAATTAACTATAAAAAACTTTTTTTTTTTTAATTTTATATAGTTTTTAATCCTCATTCTGCTTTAAACATTGTTTCCTCAAATCAGTTAGTTCTTTCACATTACCTAAAGTCATTTCAACCTAAAATAATTTTGTAGGTACTGGCATTTTCCTCTTAAATCTGTTAATTCTTTCAATTAGTTCAAATCAGTTAACTCTTTCAGTTCATTCTTTTATTTCTTTCCGAGCTTCTTGCTTTTGGGATTGGATAATCTATTAAAAAAAAAAAGTAAATATATCTTATAAATAAATTTCATTTAATACAAATAAGTAAAAAATTATAAACCTTACTTAACTATAAAATAACTGTAAAATAAACAAATATAAATTACCTATAAAAGAAATAATGAAGATAAATTAACTATAAAGAACTTTATTTTCTTAAATTTTATTGCAACAAAAGTATTAGCAATATTTTATAATTTTGTAACAATATTTAAAGCAAACCTTGTCGTTTTAAATTCTTATACTGCTCTCATTTGTATTCTTATTTATTAAAATAATAAAAAACATAATAAAATTAAAATATTTTAATATAAAAAGAAATTTTATGATTTTGTATAATTATTTTATATTTATAAGGATGTATCCAAAAAACAAAATAAGTTTTTGATAAATTTTTTTTAGCAACAAAAATAATAGCAATATAAAAAGCATACCTCATAATAAAGTAACAATATTCAAACCAGACCTCATTGTTTTTAATTCTCATTCTGCTCATATGTATTTGTATTTGTTTAAAAAATTAAGTACATCCATGACTTATCTTAAATAGTTTATAATAAAAAAAAGAATTCCAAATAGTTATATGAATAGTCGTCTTGTTTCTCTACATCTTGTTTTTGGGAGCAAATACTCTACAAAAAGAAAAAAAATATATAAATATATATATCAATAAAATCAAAAAATTCTTTTCTGCAAAAAAAAATAATTGTATAAACATAACTTAAATTAAAATAAATTAATATATATCGTAACTTATGAAATTGATATATAGCATAAATCAAAAAACTGTTAAATTTACAAACATAATTTAACTATAAAATAAATGCTAAAGATAAATATATATATATATATATATATATATATATATATATATATATATATATATATATATATATATATATATATATATATATATATATATATATATATAAATTATAATAATAAATTTAACTAAAAAAGGTTGTTTTTTTTTTTGCAACAATAATAATGGCAAAATATAACCATACCTCATAATATGGTAACAATATTTTAAATAGACTTCATCGTTTTTATTTCTTATACTGCTTATTTATTTGTATTCATTAATTTTATCTTATAATTTTTAATGAAGAAAAAGATTCCAAATAGTTTTGTGTATGGGTACTTGTTTTACTACTTCTTGTTTGAGCCTGTTAATAAGTTTTATTGATTGATTGATAATGTTTATACTGATGTACTAATGTAGTGTGCAAATAATCATTAGAATAATCCATTATTTAACGGTGTTACATGACTTTAAAAGATTAGATTAGCACCTATATAGATGTTTTAATTTGATAAGTATTTCAACTTGGTGCTTATAAGAAGCAAAGTTTTATAAAAGTTTAAAAAATAGTAATTATAATAATTTTTTTTTAATGATTTTTTATATCTTTTTAAATATATAATTTATATATTTAAAAAGATACCTAATAAAAATTCATTTAAAAATACTTCAAAAACTTTTTTTTTTAATGTCAAAGAGTGATTGTGTTTATGCAATAAAACCTAAAATAATTTTTTTTTTTATAAAATTATGATTATTTTTAAAGTCTTGATAAAACTTTGCTGCATTTGGGATTAAAATGGATCCCCAAGTGCCGTGACAAGTTGTTAAAAAAATGTTTGGGCTAAATTTTTTGATTAAAATTAAATAATAAATGCACACTATTAATATTAAAATTCATGTTTTCGCCGTTTCCATTTTTTTGGTTTTCAAAGTCTGTATAATGTAATGTTAGCCGCAACCTGCTGACTTGATAATTTATTTCATGCGGGTTTAATTCATAACATTTTCCGTGTATGACGTCATCGTTATAATTTTTTTTTTACAAGATATCTTGCCAAATCACCAAATCATAACTTTTTACTAAATCCCAAAAAGAAGTTTGTGATTAAATTAAAAAATAAATTTATAAAAATAAAAATAAAAGTTTAATATATAGCGAATATTTGAAGTAAAAACGAATTGGTTTAAACTAAATTTCAACTAGATACTAAAAAAATTATTTTTACAAAAGCGCATTAATTAATTTAAAGTATTAACTGAATAATCGAGTGTCTTGAATAAAACATAAACTGTACTAAGTAGAAAATAAGTTATTTTACTAATAACCGTGCAAATCAAACTAAACTAAATAAGTTAAAACAAATTTTTATAATAAAACTAGCTAAGATCGGATCCGTAATAATACTGGTCTTTGTAAGTCTATTCCAAACCGGACTTTTCGATATTTTTTCCTTAAGTATCCTAGCTTTCCGGATCCGTAAAATACAGGTCTTACTAATTTACATATCTATTCCGCACCGGTTATTTCTATATCTATTCCTTATTTAGTTAAATGTTTTTTATTAAAACAATTATTCTGAAAAAAACTTTAAGAGCAAAAAACCTAATATGCGCACCTTTTCCGCATACGTAAAGCTAAAAAGAGACTTATAGGCTTAGGTTTGTCTTTCTGCTAAATGTTTTTTTTATTGATACCTCAGTGGTTAAGTACGCTGTCATTAGTGTTGCTTTGGGGGGAGGGGGAGGGGTTTAAGACCTCCTCTTTGCGTAATAAGTTTTGAAACTTTTTTTATCTTGCTTATATATTTATACCAAAAAAGTAATAATATAGCAAATTTCTAAAATTTAAAATTTTAAGATTTTTCATTTTATAGATATAATAAGCGATTATTTCATATAATGCCTGCAAACTCAACATATGCTAAAGACGTTTACACTTACAGACGTTTGTACGTAACGCTATACAAACGGTCATAAGACATAAAAAAAGTTCATTCTTATGATAATGATTAAAAACTAAAGAAATATTAAACGCTAGTCTAAATGTTGACCCAAAATATTTTTGCGCATTGACGTCAGTGACAAAATAAACCTTTATGCTCGGTGTAGTTAAGGCAATTTACAATTAATTTGAATTCTTTTATTTGAAATTAGCATGAATTTATAAGCATATTATGTCCAAACAAAAGCTTTATATGCTATAATTTTTTTTTGCTTCAAGTTTTTTTAATATTTAAAGATACTTTTCTTATTTTTATATAATTTTCAAAACCTTTTTACTACCCGTAATAGTGAATCAAAAGAACACCATTTTGGAGTCTTTAAATCAATTCCGCTCATCCCCACCACGCACAGTGGAAAATAAAGGTCTGTTTTAGATCAAAAATCAATAACTTTTTTGTTACTAAAGATAAAGTGTTGAAATTTTGCACAAATGTAAGGCTTCTAAGGAAATATTTAAAAAAAAAAAAAAAATTAATATAAAACTTTTAAATAAAAATAAAAAACGTCACAGTTTTCATTTTTTTTTTACTTCTAACTAAACATGTTGTTTTTAATTTTATTTAAAAATTTTAAAAGTATTAGAAACGACAAAAAATGCTTATTTATTTAGAAAATATATTAATATTAAATTTATATAATAAAAAAACATTTATACGAGCTTTTGGCTAATCTCTAGACAAAAAAAAAAAAAAAAAAACTTACTTTTTAAACTTTTAAACAAAAATTTTCCTTATAATTTATTATTAATTTTCCTTAGGTTTAATTGTTTTACTAAATTGATTTTTTAATAGTTCCGTGTAATTAATTAATTTGCATATATTTAAACATTTGCATGATTACATGGCATATATTTTCAAGAGTTTATAAAATGCTTATTATAGCAATATTCAGAATAGTTTACTAATAACAACTTTTATACAGTGAGTTTTTATGGAATAAATTGTAATTCAACTTTCAAAAGCTGCAAAGTATTTTCATCGAGTTTTCGATGAAAATACTTTGCAGAGCCTATCTAGAACATTTCCTGGCATGATGAAGGCGAAATTTTTTATAATCTTTATTACGGGATTCTTGCGCATCTTCTAAAAGTTGCCCGATAGACAGTACTGCAAAATGTTTTATGATATTTTCTCCATGAAGTAAAATTTTGTGTACTGAAGACGGCATAAAGTAACAGCTATAATTACTCACATAAATGTGGGCAGTTTCTATAGCATATGTCCCAAAACTTTCAGCATTTATCATAACACCTGAGGAGAGAGCTTGTAAGATAATTGAATGTATGTCCATCAAAATTAATTCTCAATAAAAATGGGACAAAAAAACTTTTGTTTTAAACAGATAGTCTAAAACCACGATAAAAAGCGGTTTTTTGTTTTCTGACTTTTATTACTTTTTTATCTATAACTTTATAAACCGCACGTATCCGCACCTGATTTTTAATAAATCGTTTTTATAGACACCTAAGCACTAATAAATTATAAAAATAAAGCGTCGGGAAGCGTCGGTGACTGCCAAAATTATCAGTGAACCTTAAGATTTTTTTTTTTCTTTCTTACTTTATAGTTCAATTAATTATTTGATAACAGAACCATATAATTAAAAAATTGAATTTGTTCAAAAATCTCCATAACACGATGCTTTCAAAAATATATAATACTTTATTTACTTATTCATAAAAAGTTTTATAGAAAATAAAGTTATGAAGTAAATAAGTTTAAATTGAAAATATTCAAAAATATGTAGCGCTAGGGCTTCAAAAATGATCCTTTTACAAAAAATTAGGTAAAATTCCTACATTATAGTAAAGATTGACTATTAAACTATCAAAAATATATATATATATATAATTTCAGTAGTGAAATTGAAATTTGAACAAAAAACTTTTATGGTACGATTTTGTAGTACTAATTCTACTGTGCCACGGGGTAAGTCGGCGTAAACTATAAAAATGATTATTTATGTACTATTAAGTGCAAAATTAATAGAAAATTTTTTATTATTAATTATGGCAAAATTACTTTTAGCTGGTGCCAAATATTAGTACGTATAACAGCCAAAACAGCAGCCTACTTTTAATCTGTGAAAAAAAAACTAAAAAAAAATTTTTTAATTTTTTTGTAAGAATATTTTTCAATATTGTTAAAAATTAAAAAAAAAAAATTAATTTTATAAAATTTTTTTTCTTCCATAGTATGCTATGAGCCAACTTACCCCATGAAAATTTTGTCAACTTACCCCGAATGCTTTTTTTTCTATAAACAGTCTATTGATCCTGAAGAACGGCAACTTTGAAAAAAAGTCTAACTCGATATAGTAAACCAATTATAGCTGGAACTTTTTCATTTGAATAACTATTTTCTTTGTAAACTAAAAAGGAAGTCCTGTTCCAAAAGTTACGTTTTCGTCCAAAAAACACATAAATCCTCTTATCTCCCATGCGCATGCGTGAATCCTAACAATACTACAGTGAATGATGAAATGCTCAGTTAGGAAGGTTCTGTGTAATTTTTACCACTTTCTGAAAGGCTCTAAAAATAAACCCAATTCGTCAACTTACCCCCTGCGACCAACGGTCTCCCCTATTTATTCAAAATCTTATTCAAATTTGGACAGGCGATTGGGATTTTTGTAAGCAGCCGTAGCGCAGCGGTAAAGGTGATTTTCCACTCATTCGTTTTTTTACGGAAAAGGGAAAAATAATCACGTGAGTAAACGCAGTTTTCTTTCAGAGAAATAAAAACTTTTATTACGCATGCTCACGTGATTATTTTTTCCTTTCCTATCCCGTACCCGTAGAAAAACGGATGAGTGGAAACTCGCCTTTAGAGTTGTGGCTCAGAACCCAAAGGTCCGAGGTTCGAAGCCGGCTCTAGCTCAACAAGGAGTGAACTTCTAGTTAAATGCTCTCCCGCGGTGCTCCGTGATAAGACCGTAAGGACTCCTGGGAGCACCTAAAACAACCTAAAAAAAAGCTTTAAGAAGGTTTTTTTTTTTTAAAAAAAAAAAAGAATCTGTGGTCCGGTTTTTTTTGCAACAAAAAATTTTTATGTTATGATACCGCAAAATTTATCATTTTAATTTTTTTTGTCATTTTATAATTCGCAGACCTGATTACTTAACGGAAGTATGTAATAGTCAACAAAATATCATACAGGCGCAATAATATTTTAAAACTGCCTTAACTACACCGAGTGCGTAAAGTTTCATATTGCATTTATCTTACATTATTTAATTACTTTTAAATATGTTGCTTACATTATACTGATTCTACAATCAAACTCGTAAAAATAAAAAGCCGATGATTGTGGCAAATTGAAATTAAAACAAAAAATTGAAATTAAAAGTAATTTATTTATAAAGTTTACCGCCTCTGTTTTTTGATTGTTTACGCATTTTGAATTTATTATTTCAAGATGGCCGAATAAGTCATATATAATATAATAATCCCTAAGTACCAAGTAATAATAAGTATTAATACCGTATAAGTACTACTTAGATGCTAAAGTATAAAAATCTAAATTAGTCATTTTCGTCATACTAGGTGATGATAAAATTCTCTTTCAATATCAACTTTATAAAAAGCCTGGTTTCTATCGACACTTTAATTAAAACGCATTTCTTATTGATTTCCTGACCCAACCAAACTCTGACCCAAATCATGTACATTTAATTGCGCCAATCCCTATTTGTCAGTCGATGAATGCTCGTCTTTAAATATGAAAACGACAATAAAAACCGGGTCGCGTAGTTAAATTTTGAAAACAGTGTTAAAATGTCTTTAAAAAGATGGGCGGATATTTTTATACTTTAACATCAAATTAGAGTACTTTACTCAAGTTTTCAGACCTATGTTTTTATATGATTTAGAATCAGTTTAATGTATTCTATAATAATCAATCATAAAAGCGAAGGAGGGGGGGGAGGGGAGAAAGTCGAGTAACGCCGATAATTTTCCCAAATAATGTCTGATCATAAAGTCAAGTTACATTCCTTGAAAACAAACACCAATACGTGCTGTTATGAAATAAATCAAATAGACATATCTATAGCCAAGCCCAAAGCCCCAGGTACTTTATGTTGAAAAGTGAATCTTTTCTAAATAAAACTACGCTTGACGATTTGTTATAGTCGCATTACTTTTACCAGATTATAATAGTAGCTAAAAAAACCTTTCCATATATACCTAATCTGTCATACTTTTTGATGAAAAAACTTATATTTTTGTTCGGACAAACGTGTACCATGCCTTAGTTGCATTGAGTAGCTCATATTGTCTTTTGATTATGTAGAGAATTATTTAAACCTTTAGAACAAACAAATTCTTGGTGTCTAGAATGGAAATTTATATACTAAACAAGATAAATTGTGAAGCATACTCGAAAGCCGCTACCAGAGGCTTGAGGGAGTGAAAGAGTTAAACTATAACTAAATGTAAATTAAACATAAAACGAACAACTCTATTAAACCATATAAAATAAATATAAAACGAGAAACTGCATCATACTGCATTTATTTTTTCACTGCCTGCGAACTCTAATAATTAGAAAATACGTATATTTGTGTCATGATTTTGGCTGGCTTCTAAAACAAAGAAATAATAAAGCAAGCAAAAAAAAAAGTTATAAATATAAATTGATTTTGTAAAAAATTCTACAAATATTTAATTTTCCGATTGTAGTAGACAAAATACTTATATATCCGTAAAACATCTTTAAAAAACAGCAACAAAAAAACGCTATGTTTAAAAAGATATTGCAACGACGTCGTTTACCGAAAGTTATGAATTTAACACGCATGGAATAAATTATCAAGTCTGCAGATTGCGGCTAACATTATACATACTCTCAGAACCAAAAAAAAATGACGAGACGACGAGCTTTGACTAAAACGGGAATTTTAAAATTAATGTTGGCACTTGAGATCCTTATTAACATGACATATTTTGTCATGTCTTTACGGACATACGGCGAACAAAGATGGCTGCCTAATTGAGTATTCAATCAACTTTTTTTTAATCCGTGGTTATCGAAACAATCATAAAAGAAAAACGAATAAAGAACCTTAACAATAATACATTATATATTTGTATTTATAAGTTTTAAAGTTAATTTTAAAAATAATGGAAATTACATTAAAAAATATCGAGAAGTTAATTACAAACAAACTCGAAGAACAAAAAAAGAGTATTTTAAAAGAAACAGAACGCCTGTTAAAAGATCAAGAGAAAAACTTTACTGATATAATTAGTGCTAATTTAAAAATACTCACTAATCGGTTAGACAAAATTGAAAAAGAAGTAGATGTAAACAAATCCAAAGTCTTAAGCATAGAAAACGACCTTCGCGATTTTAAAGAAAGTCTTAACTTCCAAGAAACAACTATTATGGAAAAAATAAATAAGATCACGAAGCGTTACGAAAAGGAGATAAACAACTTAAATAAGAAGACACTAGATTTGGAGAATCGATCTCGAAGAAACAACCTAAGATTAGATGGAATATTTGAAAAGCCAAATGAAAATTGGAATGAGTGCGAAAATGCAGTAAAGGAAATGTTTAAAAAACAACTAAAAATTAGTAATGAAATTATCATAGAAAGAGCTCATAGAATAGGCCAACCTAAAGAAGATAAGAAACCAAGAACGATTGTCCTAAAGTTATTAAATTTTCAAGACAAAACAAAAATACTTAACGCTACAAAAAACTTGCGAGGAACTGGGATATATGTTAATGAGGATTTCGCTAAAGAAACGATGGAAAGCCGAAGGATGTTGTGGGAAGAGGTCAAAAAGTTGCGACTTGAAGGTAAGTATGCAGTTATAAAGTATGATAAAATTGTTTCTAGAGAATTTCGAAAGTAAATGCGCTCATTCTTAATAAGAACTCCTTTTTAATTTATTTGTGATAATTAATCATGGCTTTAATAAGTGACTTTGAAACTCTTGTCTTCAATTTTTTTGAAACAAAATTTTTTTCACTACACGAAAACTCCGACCCAGATATTAATTATTTCCATGATACAAAAATAGAATGTTCTTACTACTATCCAAATGAATTAAAAGGAATTCTATTTAAGAATGTTAACAATGATCAAATTAGAATTCTGCATGTAAATATCAGAAGCATTAATTGTAATTTTGAAAAATTCCAAAATTTACTCGAGGAAACTAAGTACTTTTTTAATATTATTTGCTTAACTGAAACTTGGGCAACCTCAAACGACATAAAAAAAAATTTTAATTTTTATCTTTCTCATTTTGAAATGATCTCTCTCGAAAGACAAATAAATAAGCGCGGTGGTGGAGTTCTAATTTACATTCATAAAGATATAAAGCATTGTTGTAGAAATGATCTTAGTGTTTCTGACGGCGATGGAGAAATATTAACAATTGAGATTATTAATGAACGAACAAAAAATATTTTAGTTAGCTGTTGTTATCGACCGCCAGATGGCGTGAGCGAGAACTTGAGCATGTTTTTACAGCAAAATGTTATTGCAAAAGGTAACAACGAAAAGAAAAAAAACTTTCTTGTTGGTGATTTTAATATGAATTGTTTTGTCTACAATGACGATAACAAAGTTAAAAATTTTTATGATACAATTTTTGAATCTGGAGCAATCCCTTTAATAAATCGCCCAACAAGAATAACAAAAAATTCAGCAACTTTGCTGGATAATATCATTACCACAGACTTGTTCAACAATGATATAAAATTGGGTATCTTAAAAACGGATATTTCGGACCACTTTCCTATTTTTCTAACTATAAACACCGACCAACTGCCTAAACAAATTTTAAATAAAATTGTAAAAAAACGTTTTTATACATCATCAAACATTGAGGCCTTTAAAAATCAGCTCTCATTATTACATTGGAAACACTTAAATTTTAATGAAAATGCAAACAACCTTTATGAAAAATTCTATGAAACTTTTATCTCTGTTTACGAGTCTAATTTTCCAATTGTTACAATTACATTAAAAACAAAACACTTTGATAATCCCTGGATTACCAAGGGGTTCAAAAAATCATCCAAAACTAAACAAAGGCTATACATAAAATATCTAAAAACAAAAACACCAGATAGCGAAAAAATTTACAAAGATTACAAAAATCTATTCGAAAAAATCCGAAAAAAATTTAAAAAAAATTACTATTCAAAATTAATTAATAAAGCTAAAAATGACTCAAAACGCACTTGGCAAATATTAAAAGAAATTACAGGAAAACAAAAAACATGCTCAAGCTCTTTGCCACAAATGCTTAAAGTCGATAACAATAGCTTGCATGAGCCACAAATAATAGCTCATGAATTCAATAAATATTTTACTGAAATTGGATCAATCTTATCAAGTAAAATACAAAAAACTCAGACCTCATTTTATGATTTTTTGTTACCTTTTGATAAAAATATTTCCTCTGAAGAATTATCTGCTGAACTATCATTTGATGAGTTTGAGAAAGCTTTTAAATCTTTAAAAAAGAATAAAGCACCTGGTGCAGATGAAACACTGTAAAAAAACTAACGCCAATATAACGGATGAATTTGAAATAAGGAAATGTTATCCGTTATATTGGCGTTATATTGGCGTTATATTTCTTTGTGTGCGTCATAATTTGTGCACGCTTGATCGATTCTTTTCAAATGATGAACTCAATCCGTTGTATTCATCACTTAAATTCATCCGTTATATTAGGCGTTATATTATTTCGTTCTCAGGCTCTTCATATTCCGAACCTTGAAGACAGTTGATGATAATACATTATAAAAAAATATATTTAATTTGAATTACCATGAAGGCAATAAAAGTCACTTTCAAAAATCGAAGCGAAATAGTTGTTGCAAATTCCGATTTGTTTGCATTTGTTCAACAAGGTAAGTAAACATATATTTTTATAATGTTTTTATTAACCTACCAAGTATATCATATTCACATCATGTATATATGTATATATATGTATATATGTATATATATATATATATATATATATTTTTATATATATATATATATATATATATATATATATATATATAGTATATATGTATATGTATATATAAATATATATATATATATATATATATATATAATATATATATATATATATATATATATATATATATATATATATATATATATATATATATGTGTATATAAATATATATATATATATATATATATATATTATATATATATATATATATATATATATATAGAGTATATATGTATATGTGTATATAAATGTATATATATATTATATATATATATATATATATATATATATATATATATAAATATATATATGTATATATATATATTTATATGTATATATATATATATAATATATATATATATATATATATATATATATATATATATATATATATATGTATATATATATAGTATATATATATATATATATATATATATATATATATATATATATATATATACATATATATATACATATATATATATATATACATATATATATATATATATATATATATATATATATATATATATATATATATATATACATATAATATATTTTTTAGTCTGTCTAACATTTGGTGTCAGTCAAATTATTGGTTTGAAATGGCTAGGATGCTCAGTTCACGAAACAAATTTTAAAGCATTGCTAAATGAACAATCACTAGAATTTGTAGTCGATATACAAGAACTTGATCAAATCAATAAACAACCTCTGTCTCAATCTTCCTGTTCTTATACTGATCCTCAATCATCATGCTCCACGTCATATAGCTTTCTTACCGACTTGCAAAGTAATGAAATTTTTGCTGAAGACGTTATTAGCAAGCAAAGACGCTTAGATAATCTATTTCCAGTTATTTTTTCATCCACTGGTCCTTCAGCTCAAATCAATCAAACTTCACCTAATATTAAAAATCAAACTCCGCAATGTTCAAGAGATAGTATATCTTCAAATAAAAATAAGTTGACAGAGATCTTCAATCCGAAGCGAAAGGTATTTTTATATAAATGTAACTGCTGTACTTTTCAATCTTCTAGGTATTGTATGATGAAAAATCACTTGCGTATTCATGGAAACAAAGGTTCAATTATTTGTGATACTTGCTATTCAAAGTTTAAAACGCTCTACGGATTTCAAAAGCATACTGAGCAATGTTCAGCGCTTGTAGAGAATAGTTTTGATGTTGATTCAATTGAAGAAGCAGAAAAATATCAAATAACTGATGATTATTTAGGAGCTTTAGCTTTGCATCTTCAAGGTAAACACAGGTGTGCTCAAAATATTTTAGATTCAATATTTCTGCATCTAAAGGAAATGCTGTCTGTGTCAAATATTGATGTATGCAAATTAAAATCTTGTTGTGAAATTTTAACATCTCAAAGTTGCCGCGAGACATATTTTGTTAGGGTATTCAAAATGCCTTTAGTTAAATCTGTTGGTCTCAAAAAACAAGGTTGTGTTGTACCCTTTTTAGACACCTTATCATTTTTATTTCAATCTCCTGAGATTGCAAAGTTTGTTGATAGTAAAATCAGTATTGCTATTTATTGTGATGATCTTGGTATCACAAATCCTATTGGTAAAGCACGGTCTAGACACAAACTTTGGGCAATGTATTTTCAAATTCTTAATATCCCTGCAAAATACCGTGGAAGAACATCAACCATATTTCCTTTAGCATTTACAGGTAGTAAGATGATTAAAGACAATATATTCTTCCATGCACTGTTGACTGACTTTATTGATGCTATGTCAAAACTTATGACAGGGATAGTGATAACAGTGTTAGGAGTTCCCAAAGTATTGACAGGTGAGTTATGTTATTTTTCTGGTGATTCATTAGCTGCAAATGCTATTGGTGGATTTAAAGAAGGTTTTAGCAGGAAGACAGTTCGATGCTGTAGAGTTTGTAATTCAACAAGAGGGCAGATGTATGCAAACACTAGGCATGAACAATGCTCTATACGTGATTTAAAAGAACATTTAATTAGAGTAAATGAATTAGATTCTGGTCTTAGACCTAAAGATAGAATTAAATGGTCAAAATATTATGGGATTTCTTCATCAAGTGTTCTTTCGTCAGTTCCATTATTTGATGTAACAAAGCAAATCTTATTTGACCCTATGCATGATCTATTAGAAGGTGTTGTTCCTCTTCAGTTAGAACTGTTTTTTTCATACGCTATTGAAAATAATTTTTTAACAATATTGTCATTAAATACATGGCTCCAATCATTTGTGTATCCAGCTGGCATTGAAAAGCCTGGTGTAATTTTAAAAACATGTAAAATCAAAGGGAGTTTTGGAAGTGGTCAAATACTTACTCTTACACGAGTTTTACCTTTTTTTTTAGTGAAAAATTTTTTGGCTCATAATGAACATCTTAAATGCTTGCTAAAATTGATTCAAATAGTTCAACTATGCATGTCTCCAGTCATAACAGAAAAATACATTACTGATTTGAAAGATATCATTGCTATGCATCATGAACTATTTTTGGGTTTATACCCACATAAATTTATACCTAAGCTCCATTTTCTTATCCACTATCCAGCTCAGGCTGCTACTTCAGGGCCTTTGAGGGAGCACATGTGCATGGCTTTTGAGCGCAAACATCAAGTGGTTAAGAATTATCGACATTTTAACTTTAAGAACATTCCTTATACAGCCTGTAAAACAATGATTGCAAACACCACTGCTCAGTTTTTTAATTCAATTGGTGCAATTAAAGCTGATGTCTATTGTAATGAGGATGAACTAAAATACTTGTCAGGAGCAATACAAAGTGCAAATATTGATGGCATTTTATATAAAATTGGGTCTGTAATCACTGTTTTTGAGAACGACCAGTTTATTTACCATCAAATCAATAAGATAGTATCAATATCTGGAAAAAGACACTTTGAAACAACCAAATTAGATACTTTACTCTCAAATGTTTATTCCACCTGCAAATTACCTTCATTTTCTTTAACTAATATTGTATTTCCTGAGACATTACAGTTTCCATGGTGCGCAATTGGACTATCAGTTAGTGATGCTATCCTTGTGTTTCCACTTGCCATTCCAAATTTGTCTTTTGATGGTATTTCAAATCAGCTAACACAAGAAACTAGTTAAACTTTAATATCTTAAAAACCCTACATAACCATATTTCAGGCTTATCTTTATTTAAGTACGCACACTAATAAACAATAATATATATTAAGATTATTCAAACTTTTTTTCTTTATCTGTCGGAAAATAACAGACAAGAATACAATAATTTAAAATATAATTTTTGTGTTGAATAAAAAATTTTGTTTTAAATTATTATTATCTTGTCGTGTTATTTTTTTTCATTTACAAATATTTTTCATATTGTTTGTTAGAACTAGTATATTTTTAGATGTCTAAAGTTAAACTTCCTCAATCAGATGTCGATCTTCTGATGACTTATTTTTCTGTACCAGTTATACAATTGCTCAATGGAGTTAGTAATGTTTTTGTTTTGAAAGAACTGAAGAATGCACTAACTCAATTTTCATCATTAAAGGTTATTAATAATGACCATTTTGGTAACAGGGAGTTCTTCTCACGACTCAAGATTACTTTGAGAAATCTCTTTCCTGAGTTCAAGGATGATTGGGTAAGATATATGATTTTCTACTTTTTTTCTACATTAACTACATTTTTTCTTTTTAACTAAATTATAATAATACAGTCCAATCATGCTTATCTTTGCTAAAAAAAATATTTAAAAAAGACAAATTTATGTAAATAGAATACATTGCTTAAACAATAATGTTGTAGGTGGCGAGTATGGGCATATTTTGTGTTGCCACTCTAGGCCAAAGTCACTTCATTTAATGGTTTAAAAAAATTTTAAATGTGTCATTTAATGACACATTTTAAATTTTTTTCCTAAATTTTTTTTCTAAATTTTCTGTCCTAAAGCCAATGAAGCATAGTATCATTATATATATATATATATATATATATATATATATATATATATATATATATATATATATATATATATATATATATATATATATTTATTTAATATTTTTAAAATTTATTACATCTAGGAGACTTTGTTTGTACATATAAGTAACAATCTTCGTCAACAAAGATGGTCGAAGATGAATGCAAGTTCCCCAAAATTTAACCAACTGGCTAGAGGACATAAAACTTTAGCAATCAAGGAGATTGTAGCACAAGCTGAACCAGTTTTATCAAACATTGAAATTGAGGCAGAGATCAAGGTATGTTTCTTTTTTTTTATTTTAACAAGTTTTACTGTTTCTGTTTTTATATGAAAGATTTTATTGTTGCCAAAATAGGTATTTTTTAGTTAATGACACTATTTCTTTTTTCGAAATTTTACCGTTAACTAACTAAAGTTAACTGTATAACAGATCGAACTTGGAAAAGCTGTACCATCTGTTGCTGTATTGAGCATCCTGAACAGAAATCTATTTTACCACCAAATATTTGAACAAATACCTCATAGACTCAGAATAGCTCCATCTCTTCTTATTGATGAATTTAAGCGATTCTTTCCCCAATATGAAAATGTTGTTAGCAGCTCAAGATTGTTTATTAAGGCTGCATTTAAAGATAATGCAAATATTGTTTCAAGTTTAATGGAACTGCAAAATATGTTTATATCTCGAAAAAGCAAAGATGTTCTTTTTTTGCAATCACATGTAAGTTTCTTTAATATCTTATTAATGTTTTTTTTTTTACATGTTTACCTTGTAGGTTTCTTTTTGCTAATCAAAAAAGTTTTTACTAAAGGTTTCCAAAATTGTAAATTTTAATCAGACTACATAAGTTAAGATTTTTATTACTAGGCTGATAGCATTGATACAGAACTTGCACTTCCCTCGTTGTATGGCCCCCAAGTAGTGCTCAATGGTTTATATTTTGGTATTCGGTCACGAACTGGAGTTGAATTATGTGCTACACAAATATTATGCATGGAGGAAGTTATAGCATCAGTAATAGCAGTATATTATCTTAAAGATTTATGCTATCCATCTTGCTTTGCCCAATTACTTGGGGTTTTTCAAGAAACTATTCTAAAAGTTAACTACCCTTATAAATCAAAGGCTGCAGCAAGATATGTGCTAAAATTCAGCAGCTCATAATTTTTTTTAGTTTTTTTATGCATATAAAAATTGATGTTAAATCTAATTGAAATTTGATTATAAAAGATAATGATGAAGGTTAGATATTGCATTTGATCTTCTTAAAAAGATCAAATACATATATGTACATCTTCTTAAGAAGATCAAATAAATTAAAAACTGAAAATGTTTTTTTCTCAGAACAGCAAAAATGGACTTAAGAGTCTTGTTTTGCACTGTACCAGTTATAACATGATACAGGTACTATTACACCCTAATATATATATATATATATATATATATATATATATATATATATATATATATATATTTAGGTGTAAAGTATATAAAGTACTGCAGACACAGGTACTCTATAAAAGGTTATAAATATTTTATAACCACTAAATAATGATAATTATTTTTAAAAAACACATAAATAATATCATACTCACACAGATTATATATATATGTATATATATATATATATATATATATATATATATATATATATATATATATATATATATATATATATATATATATATATATATATATATATATATGTATATATATACATATATGTATATATATATACATATATGTTTATATATACATATATGTATATATATACATATATATATACATATATGTATATATATACATATATGTATAAATATACATATATGTATATATATATATATATATAAATATATATATATATATATATATATATATATATATATATTTATATATAGGTGTGTGCGTGATATTGTTAATAGCTTTCTATATTTATTACATTCTTTCAAAATAAATTTTTTAACCCTTAATAATGTTATGTATTATATCTCATAATGAGTTTTAATGAGTTCTTAAATTAATACTATTTAGTTATGTAATCTTTAGTTGCAGCAACTTTTTGTACAAGTGGTGAAGTAGCAATGGCAAAGTTGTATCTTTTTGAAATAGTTGTAAATAATCAATCAAATGATTTTATGTTGTACCTTTTTTATAATCTTATAGATTGCATCTTTTTAAAATCATTATAAATGCAGGGATTATCTTTTTCCGGAAATTTTTTGAATTCCGGAGATTTTTCTCAACTTTTAGTTTTTCCGGATATCAAAAATATTTTCTATACATACAAGTTTAGGAATATATTTTTGTAATATATTTGTTTTTTAAGCTTTTTCTCTCATTCAACTTAAGAACATCTTTCAACTTAAGAAAAGTTAAAAAAATAATTAAAAACAGCTCAGCTAAAATCAAAATTATTAGAAATATTAGGGAAAATATATTCCGGATATTTTACCCTACTGATTTTCCGGATTTTTAAAATATAACCTGGATGATCTATGTAAATGACATTTTGAAGATGTTTTTTGCTGTTTATCTATTTCATTTTGTAGTATTTAATGGCATTGACATCTGGTAGCAATCGTAAGGTTGTATCATTTCAAAATGATTGTAAATGACTTAGTAAAAGAGGATATCTTTTATATATATATATATATATATATATATATATATATATATATATATATATATATATATATATATATATATATATATATATATATATATATATATATATATATATATATATATATATATATTATCTTTAATATAATATAAAGATATATATATGTATATATATATATATATATATATATATATATATATATATATATATATATATATATATATATATATATATATATGTATATATATATATATATATATATATATATATATATATATATATATAATGTATATCTTTTGTATTTTATAGTCTTTAATGATATTGACATACGGTAGCATTGGTAAGGTTGTATTTTTAAATGATTATAAATCACTTAGAAATGTCGTTTAAATTTATTCTTATTTTGTAATCGTTAATAGCGACATCATTTGGTACCGGTAGTAATGTTACATGTATCTTTTCACTTTCCGCAATTGTTGAATGAGTCGTATGTTTATTATCCTTTTTATATTGTATTCTTTAGTGGCATCGATACTTCAAAGCAATGTTAAAGTTATATCTTTTCACAATATTTGTAAAAGACCAATCATAAGATTAATATATATTTAAATTTTTAAGGTGTCATTTGATAATTGTTTTTTATTTTGCATTTTTTAGCGGCATCGACACCTATTAGCAATGGTAAATATATATCTTTTCAAAATGATTTTAAATAATCATTATATATATATATATATATATATATATATATATATATATATATATATATATATATATATATATATATATATATATATATATATATATATAATTATTATTTCCAAACATTAGAAAATTTATATATTATGTTTGTAGAAATACGATTAGTAAAATAAGTATAACGCCAAATATAACGGTTGAACCGTTAGTTTATTTTTTCTAAATATAACGCCAATATAACGGCAAAGTTGAGCAAATATAACGCCAAATATAACGCTAAATATAACGCCAAATATAACGGTTAACTAACGTTATATTCGCTCAACTCTGGCGTTATATTTTTTTTGTTATTCTGGCGTTAGTTTTTTTACAGTGAATAAACGGGAATATTGTTATAGATTGCTATGAACAATTAAAAAATATTCTTTTCAAAATTTTCAGAGCATCTATTCATCAAGGTATTTTTCCTGAACGTTTAAAACTTGCCAGAGTTACCCCTCTCCATAAAGAAGGCGACAGATCCAATATCAATAATTATCGCCCTATCTCTGTTCTTTCTATATTTTCTAAAATCTTAGAAAGAATTATTTTCAATAGAGTATACAATTATTTTAATTACAACAATTTATTATATAACAATCAGTATGGTTTCAGAAAAGGGAGCTCAACTGAACATGCCATCATTCAATTTATACATAACATCTCTAAATCTTTTGAAAAATCTCAATACACGCTAGGTGTCTTTATTGACCTATCAAAAGCTTTTGATACGGTCGATCACCACATCTTAATCCAAAAAATTAAATATTATGGTTTAAACAATAAAATTTTAAAATGGTTTGAAAGCTATTTAACAAATCGAAAGCAACTTGTGTATAGTAATGATGGTTATCAAAGTGAACCCCTGAGCATAACTTGTGGTGTTCCACAAGGCTCTATTCTCGGACCACTACTATTTTTAATCTACGTAAACGATTTAAACAAAGCTTCCAAATTGAAAAGTATAATGTTCGCTGATGATACTAATCTTTTCTTATCCCATACTGATATTTATGAACTCTTTTCAACTACAAACAAAGAACTCAAACACATTTCGAACTGGTTCAAAGCTAATAAATTAACTTTAAATATTAACAAAACAAAATGGATTATTTTTCACTCCTGCGCAAAAAAACGATTTTTAACAAATAATATGCCTCAAATTTACATTGATGAAACTATAATAAAAAGAGATACTGTTATAAAATTCTTAGGTGTTTATCTTGATGAAAATATTACTTGGAGAAAGCAT